CCCATAATCTAAAGCAGCACTGCCCCAAAGCAACTTGCACACTGTTGAGCAGAACAACAGATGTTTATTGCTTCAAACTACTAAGATTTAAAACAATTAAGGGATTGTTTGTTGCACAGCATTTATCAAAGCAATAGCTCACTGATGCACTAAATTATTCCCTCCATCAGGGATTTTGTTTAATGTATGCCCACTTCTTTGGACTACAAGTTTCATGAGGGTAAAACTTCTGTCTGCTCTGTGTACTTCTATATAGCTGTGGCCTAGCATAATACTTGCTATGTGGTAGTGGCCAAAATAAATATTCATGAAATAAATTATTATTGGGGCCAGGCACAGTGGCTCACTGCTGTAATCCTAGCACTTTGGGAGGCCAAGGTGGACAGATTGCTTGAGGTCAGAAACTTGAGACCAGCCTGGGCAATATAGTGAAACCCCATCTCTACTAAAAATATAAAAATTAGCCAGGCATGTTGGCATGTGCCTATAGTCCCAGCTACTCAGGAGGCTGAGGCATGAGAATTGCTTAAACCCAGGAGGTGGAGGTTGCAGTGAACCAAGATCATGCCACTGCACTCCAGCCTGGGTGACAGAGCAAGACTCTGTCTCAAAAATATATACATATATTATTGGTATTGTAAATGCTGTCTTTGATTTCATTAACCTTCATAAGTAACATTGTAGGTATAATTAGATACACAATCTATAATATCTAGTTATATGTATAATATATAGGAAAATATATCTAATTATATAAGGTAATATATAGTTAACAATTAGTTATTTTTAATCTATTCTGTTATCCATTATTTAAGTAAATGCTTTTATCATTCCTAATCATTTTGTGGTTGATTCTCTTATGTGTCTATAACTAAAGTCTTACTATCTATCATGGTAATTTGTTAAATTGTTATCCCAATAAACCACACCTCCTGGTGTTTGCACCGTTGTGTAGTCTCTTGCCCTTGGTTCTAGGCTGGGTCTGTGACTTGCTTTCAATTAATAGAAAGGAATGGAAGTGGCATTGTGCCTAATCCTTAAGAAGCCCAGTAGTTTATGGTTTTGTGCTGTTGGGAACCCTAATCCACTTTGCGCAAAGTCGGATTCTTTCGCTGGAAAGACCGCGTGCAAAGGCCATAAAGAGACAAAGACAGAAAAACCCATCCAAATTGGCAGAATCAGGAGCAAATAAAATGGCTATTATCTTAAGTCACTGAGTTTTGGGGTAGTTTGTTACACATCAGTAGATAGTTGAAACAACTACAAATAACAATAATTTTGGGTCCTCAGTTAAGACTGTTATGCCACTTTATATTCTTTTCTAAGTGTGTTGACTAGTTCTTTGATCCCATTTTATGACCCATCCAAAAAAGTGTAATAAATCTTAGTATTTTTCTTAGGAAAATAAAATTAGGAGAAAAGGCATCAAACGATTGAATTGGTATTTTAAGAGCATGCAATTATAGGGAGGGCTTTCACTTTTTATTATGTTTTTCTGAAAAGTTTAAATTTTATATTATAGTACGCATTACTTGTATAATTAAAAAGGTATTAATAATTGTGACTGCAGCCCTCATTTAATTTCTCGCTTTAGTGGGAAATGTTTCAACATTTCACCCCGAAGCAAAGCACTGGCTTGTTGTTTTGTTGTTGTTGTTTGCTATGTGTATAAATGTGTGTGAATTATATATTTTTATATGAAGTATATAAATGTATATTTATATATTATATATTTTTATACTTTTTGTCATGTTAAGTACATGTCCACCTATTATTATGTAACTAAATCAGCATTGGACTTTAAAATGTATTGAATATCTGTTCTTACATTTACTGAAATGATATAGTTTTTTCTATTTGGCCTACTAATATGATAATTTACATTACAAAATATTAAATCATACTGGCATGACCGATTGCCTTTTTTTTTTTTTTTTTTTTTGAGACAGAGTCTCACTCTGTCACCCAGGCTGGAGTGCAGTGGCACAATATCAGCTCACTGCAACCTCCATCAGGTTCAGGCGATTCTCTTACCTCAGCCTCCCGAGTAGCTGGGATTACAGACATGTGTCACCATGCCCAGATAATTTTTGTATTTTTAGTTGAGATGGTTTTCGCCATGTTGGCCAGAGCTGGTTTCGAACTTCTGACCCCAGGTGATCTGCCTGCGTCGGCCTCCCAAAGTGCTGGGATTACAGGTGTGAGCCACTGCGCCCAGCCTGACTGTCTTGATGGAAGAAGGATGCTCTTAATACAGTAGGGGCTCTGCCACAGGAGAATTTCATGAGGAAGAATTGAGGCTTCAGGGAGAAACAGACCAGTGTCCCCAAGTCCCTCCCACAAGCCAGGCACTGTCCACATTCCTTAAGGGAAAACTCAGTTACCCTGCATATTCCCCACACCAAATTCCCTGTCACCATAATCCACATTCACTGCCTGAGCCACATTGATTTTCAATTATGCTGAAAGAACCACACTTCAATCCAGACAACCAAATAGTTGAAGCAAACAGCATGAAACAGAAGGTAGGAGGCTGAATAAACAGAGGAGCTAACACCAAATGAAGTACAGTTAATACAAAAAATCAGAAGAGACTTCTCAAAGAAGTATGGGTAATATACTAAGAGATATTTGAGTAGATACCACATTCTTAAATCGAACTGAGGCTGCCAACAATACAAAGGAACCGAGTCCTTCTAAATTTAAAGAAATAGTTGCCAAAATTAAAAGTTCAACAACAACAACAAACAAAGCAAAGGGCAGGACAAACACATATGAAGACCAATTTTGTGAGCTAGAAAATTGATATCATTTATTGTCTATATTGCAGTGTTAAAGTAAAAGAATGTTTCTATCCTTTAGGCACTTTCTGATGTAGCTTTGGAATTTGGAGGCAGCTGGATGAGTAAGGCAAGAGGAGGAGAAGCCCTGCCAGATGTGGTGGCTCATGTTTGCAATCCCAACAATTTGAGAGGCCAAGGTAGATGGATCACCTGAGGTCAGGATTTCAAGACCAGCCTAGCCAACATGGTGAAACCCCATCTCTACTAAAAACACAAAAATTAGTCAGGAGGAGGAGTGGCGGGCACCTGTAATCTCAGCTACTCGGGAGGCTGAGGCACACGAATCACTTGAACCCAGGAGGAGGAGGTTGCAGTGAGCTGAGATTGTGCCACTGCACTCCAGCGTGGGCGACAGAGCCAGACCCTGTCTCAAACAAAAAACGAGGAGAAACCTGGACCAGGAAAGAGAGAAAGAGATGTCCAAGCCCTTCTTTCCCACCGTGCGCTGCCAGCCCAAAGCATGCCCTAGCACAGGAAGAGAGAGGCTTTCATTCCCTTTCAAACCTCTTTAAATGGAATTTAAAGCCTTACACGTATTTGCTGAAATGAGACTTTTCTATGGACAGCTTGAGGTGCCTGGAGAACCGAGTGACTAATAACGGCCGAGAAAGGCATTGGGGCTTCCCAGGAATTTCTCTCAGGGCTGCATAACAGGTTTGAACACACAGTGGGAAACAAAAATAAAATTGCTGAATGATTGTCCCTACAGTCCTTATGGTTCCAGCTAATGGCTCCATTTGGTTTTCAAACTATATAGGATAATAAAATCAGAAACTCCAGGGGAGCTTGTTAAAAATAGATCCTTAGGCCCCAAGTCCCAGAAAGTCACACTCAGGAGGTCTGCAGAGGATCCCAGCAATCAGCATTTTAAACAAGACCTCCCAGATGATACCAATTAAGTTAACCCACTCCCCACACCTTCAATAATTCTCTTCAAACCCACAGCCCAACCTCTCATCATTTTCCTCTGTGGCTCAAGGCAAGCTTTTTATGTCTCCTGAAAATCCCCACCTCCATTTCAACAGCCTGAAATTATATATACACATGTGTGTGTACTTATATATATTTTTTTTTTTTTTTTTGCAAAACTCTCCTGGATTTCTTCCAAGCTTCTGTGCTCCCATTTCCTTCCCTAACTTGGGGTACTTGCAATCTCCCCCCAATTTTAGCAAAATTAAAAAAATTAAGTGTGTGGACTTTGGAGTGAAATAGACTGGGGTTCATGTCCCAGCTTTGCCACTTACTAGTTGTGTAACTTTGACTCTGAGCCTCGCTTTTCTAATCTGTGAAATGGGGGTAGTGTGGATGGAATTATATGATGTCTGGAATTTTCTTCTTAACAATCCAGGTGAAAGAAGCGGACAGGGGTATGAATGAATCAAAAGTGGCCATAGGTTGATAATTGGTGAATGTATTAGTCTGTTCTCACAATACTAGAAAGAACTTCCCTGAGATGAGTAATTAAAGGAAAGAGATTTAATTGACTTGCAGTTCCACATGGCTGGGGAAGCCTCAGGAAACTTACAATCACGGTGGAAGGGGAAAGGGAAGCAGGCACCTTCTTCACAAGGCAGCAGGACAGAGAGAGAGCACACAGGAAAAACTACCATGTATAAAACCATCAGATCTAGTGAGAATTCACTCACTATCATGAGAACAGCAGGAGGGAAACCGACTCCATAATCCAATCACTTTCCTCCCTTGACACATGGGAATTACAATTTGAGATGAGATTTTGGTGGGGACACAGAGCCAAACCATATTAATGAAGTTAGATGATGGGTATCTAGAGGTGTATTATATCATCGGCTCTATTTTGTATGTTTGAAGTTTCCATAGTATAAAACTTAGGAAAGTTAATTTAAGTATACAAATGCCCCTTCATAAAAATGGATAATCAAAAGGAACTCTTGATAACGAAAGAACTATAAGTGGCCAGATGTTTTTAAATGCTTAGCTTTACTACTAATTCTTCAATGTTAGTTTTACAAACAAAGATGTTACCTCTTGCAGTGGCTCACGCCTGTAATCCCAGCACTTCGGGAGGCCAAGGCGGGCAGACCACTTGAGGTCAGGAGTTGGAGACAGCCTGCCCAACATGGTGAAACCCTGTCTCTACTAAAAATACAAAAATTAGCTGAGTGGGGTGGCACACACCTGTAATCCCAGCTACTCAGGAGGCTGAGGCAGGAGAATTGTTGAACTCAGGAGGTGGGGGTCGCAGTGAGCCGAGATTGCACCACCGCAATCCAGCCTGGGCAACAGGGCAAGACTCCATCTGAAAAAAAAGAAAAAAAAAGTGATACCTCTTAAGTGATAACCATACGGAAATAAAATAATGTATATTAAGTATTTATCGAAGTATCTGCCACATAATTCTCAATAAAAGTTAGATGTTTTCATTTCTTCTTTACATCAAGGCAATGTGTGTGCATTACCTCTCCCCCACTACACTACATGCTGAACTCCTAAGGGGAGAAACTGTGCTTCCGTCTCTGTCACATCCATAATGCTTAGTGCCTGCGCTTGGCCCAAACTAGGCACTCAGTAAATATTTGTGGAATGAGTCTTATTTATTCAACAAACATTTGCATGACACACACTGTGTGATTGACACTATTCTAAGCACTTTACAAATATAAGTCCATTTAAGTCCACAGGCTATTCCAATGAGGCCCTCTGCTTTCAAGGTAAAACAGAAACAGCGAGACAAGCAACATGTCCTGGACGATACAATAGTTAATGGCAGAGCTGAGATCTGAACTACATATGCACTTGACATGGACCAGAATCCATGTGCCTGATAATTATGTTAGACTGTTTCTCACTCAGCTATGAATGCCACTTTCACCCCAACCCTGAACTCCTCTTATGGGAGCTGCAGATGGCCCACGTATGAATGAGGTAATGAAATCAGCAAGTGGGTGGAGATTTGGGTGCAGATCACATCTACTGGGGTACTGGAGCTGGCTCATGATTTGTGAGAACCGTTGTGCACACCTGCAGTTGGTGACTTCAAATCAACCATGGTAGGAGTACTTACACCAGAGAAATCAGCAAACATTACAAATAAAACATTTCTTCATTTTTTTGGCAAGTGCTGATTGTCAAGCACTTCCCAGCACACCACTGGGTCTATCTCCAGGAATGAGGTAATCTTTTCTTTTTTTTTTTTTTTTTAACAGAGTCTTGCTCTGTCAGCAGGCTGGAGTGTAATGGCATGATCTCTGCTCAGTGTAACCTCCATGTCCTGGATTCAAGAGATTCTCCTGCCTCAGACTCTCGAGTAGGTGGGATTACAGGCACATGCCACTACATCTAGCTAATTTTTGTATTTTTAGTAGAGACAAGGTTGCCCAGTCTGGTCTCGAACTCCTGGGCTCAAGCAATCTGCCTACCTGGGCCTCCCAAAGTGCTGGGATTACAGGTATGAGCCACCGCACCCAGCCGTGATCAGGTAATCTTGAACATCAAAATTTGTGAATCATCTTTGTTGATAGACAAGTTCATGGTACGTGGGTAGAACAAGCTTGCTTTTAGGGGCGGGGGGAGAGAGATGAATGAATGCATGCATGCATGAATGCATGAATGAATTCTCCTGAAGGGATTCCTAATATGAACTCCTAAAGGAGAGGCATTATAAGCAATTTTGGTAATTGCACCTTTTCAGGTGGCAAATGAGAGAGGCATCCCCTACAGACTGAAGTCATCTAAGTACTCAAGCATCATTATTCAATCATAGACATCTTTTCATGAAGCACAGTAAATAGACATTTTCAGGCATCAAGCCAATTTTGCAACATCCTTCCCCCTTCAGCAAGGAGAGTGGTAAAGTTCATGATGGAAGTTTCTCCACTGAAACTAACAAACATGGATTGGACTCTAACAGCGGGTGCAGATTCACCAGCTGCTTCAAGATCAAATACACAAATGGGAAGCTAGCACATCTAAGACCTCAACTGTCTCTCCAACAAAACTGTTGCAGTCGATCAAGGAATGCGTTAGTAATTGGTAACATCTGCACAGGAAGTGATGTTTTGGTGTACAACTTGGACCAATGCTGGATTACAAGTTAGCTGTGAGAGCTAACAACATACTCTCTGCCTCTTTACCTAACGTGTAACAGTGTAGTCGATCCAAAGCAATGAAAAAGCATAGTCTGGCTGGGCACAGTGGCTCACTCCTGTAATCCCAGCACTTTGGGAGGCCAAGGAGGGCAGATCACAGGGTCAGGAATTTGAGACCAGCCTGGCCAACATGGTGAAACCCCGACTCTACTAAAAATACAAAAATTATCTGGGCAGGGTGGCAGGTACCTGTAGTCACAGCTACTTCTTGAGAGGCTGAGGCGGAAGAATTGCTTGAACCCAGGAGACAGAGGTTTCAGTAAGCCAAGGTCATATCACTGCACTACAGCCTGGACGACAGAGTGAGACTTGGTTAAAAAAAAAAAAAAAAAAAATAGTCTGAATAAGTTCTGGCATATTCTTTAAAAAAAAAAAAAAGAGGAAAGAAGGGACCTACACAGACTCCTTGACTTATTTTGAACTTTCCAGATTTCACATTTGGAGAAGTCGCTGTATAACCTTTCTAAGTATTTTTACTATGTACTTTAGAAGCTTTACTATGTGACTATGTCATTTAAGATATCTATTATCAGAACAACAAGGTAGTAAGATAGCTGCTACCAGAGCATGATTAATTGCAATTCTTAGCACATAATAGGTGCTCAATGAATACTTGTTGAGTGGATGCAAGGGAGTTATTAGGAGAAAGACAGGGAGTTTATAGGAACATGCCTCTTATCCTTTTCCAGCTTACAAGAAACAGAAAATTTGATTAGTGAGGAAAGAGATGTCCTTCTCAGAAATAAGGCTTGAAAAGGTAAAATGAGCAGGATGTTTTTGGCACTGATACTATTAGTAATACAGAAATTAGGAAGCAAAATAAGCCCTTCTCATCAATAAATGAAAGCAGGCCATTGAGGCTTCTTGTGAAATGTGAAGACACTCTGCTGTAAGTACTGTGGACTTTAGAGATACTCTGAAGGGCAAAACCCATTTGGGGAAGAACCCCTGAAAGTTTTGGAATTACACTTCTCTTGAGCCCTAGCGGAAGAATGAGGATCAAATTAGATGTTGACTATGGCCGGACATGGTGGTTCACACCTGTAATCCCAACACTTTGGGAGGCAGAGGTGGGAGGATCACTTGAGGTCAAGAGTTCAAGACCAGCCTGGGCAACATAGTCAGACCCTATCTCTACAAAAAAAAATTTAAAAATCAGCCAGGCATAGAGTTGTACTTATAGTCCCAGCACCTCAGGAGGCTGAGGTGGGAGAATTGCTTAAGCCCAGGAGTTTGAAGCTGCAGTGAGCTATGATTGTGCCACTGTACTCTAACCTGGGCAGCAGAGTGAGACCCCATCTCAAAAAAAAAAGATAACAATATTGACTATGAACAGTTGAACTTTACAAAGGAATATGCTAAACCATATTTAGATGTTTATATTTCTTAAAATTTTGCTCATTTAAAAAAAGTTTTTAGTGCTTCTATTAGTGGTCAGTTGATTATGAATTTACTTTACTTAGTCTTTCCTTTTTTTTTTTTTTTTTTTGAGATGCACTCTCACTTTGTGCGCAGGCGGGAGTGCAGTGCGTGATCTGCCACTGTAACCTCCGCCTCCCAGATTCAAGCGATTCTCCCATCTCAGCCTGTTGAGTAGCTGTGACTACAGGCATACACCACCACACCCAGCTAATTTTTGTATTTTTAGTAGAGATGGGGTTTCACCATATTGGTCAGGCTGGTCTCGAACTCCTGACCTCAGGTGATCCACCTGCCTCGGTCTCCCAATGTGCTGGGATTACAGGCATGAACCACCACACCCAGCCCAGAGATAGTTTTGTTTTTTGTTTTTGAGACAGGGTCTCACTCTGTCACCCAGACTGGAGTGCAGTGGGGCAATCATGACTCACTACAGCCTGGACCTCCAAGGTTCAAGTGATCCTCCCACTTCAGCCTCCAGAGTAGCTGGAACTACAGGCACACACCACCACACTCAGCTATTTTTTTTATTTTTTGTAGAGACGGGGTCTCACTATGTTGCCCAAGCTGGTCTCAAACTCCTAGACTCAAGCGATCCTCCCACCTCAGCCTCCCAAAGTGCTGGGATTATAGCCATGAGCCAACACACCCAGCCAGTTTTTGTACTTTTGCTCTGGCTCAACAATTTCTCAGAAAGCAAGCCCACGGGGAAATGAATTGCTTCCTCTCATGCAAGTATAAAGTCCAGCTGGACTTTAAGTGCCTTGTTCAAGTTCTGCCTCCATCTCTTGCTGAGTGTGGGATCTTAGACAAGTTGCTTCACCCCTCTAGGCTCAGTCTCCTCCTCTGTAAAATAAGTCAGTTCCTTCCTGTAAGAGATAGCTATATGTATGAGAAGTATTAGGAAAATGCCCAGCAGGTAGGGAGCACTCAAAAACTGTTAGGTATTAAGGGAAGCATCTGCTTACCTGCCTTCCCTGGCGTAAGTGGCATCCTTCACTTTCAGTCAGATCTATAATTGTATTTATTTGTTCCTTCACTTCATAAACACTTTTTTTTTTTTTGAGATATAGTCTTGCTCTGTTGCCCAGGCTGGAGTGCAGTGGTACAGTCTTGGCTCACTTCAACCTCCACCTCACAGGTTCAAGCAATTCTCCTGCCTCAGCCTCCCAAGCAGCTGGGATTACAGGTGCGTGCCACCATGCCGAGCTAATTTTTGTATTTTTAGTAGAGATGGGGTTTCACCATGTTGTCCAGGCTGGTCTCAAGTGATTCACCAGCCTCGGCCTCCCAAAGTGCTGGGATTACAGGTGTGAGCCACCGCGCCCACCCTAGTAGTTCATTTCTAAAACGTAAGTCAGAGCACATCACTCTTAGGTTCAGAAAAATCCAGTGGTTTTCCATCTCTGCCTCAATCACACTCACCTTCTTACCAATCCTTGAAATAACCTCAGGGCCCTTGCACATACTGTTCCCCTCTCTAGATCCCACATGACTTGCTCCCTCAATTCCTTCAAGTCCAGATTCAAACATAACCTCCTCAGTGAGGTTTTCCCTGAACACTCTCCTTTAAGAATTCTCCCTTTCAAGAGAGAGCCATCCCCTCTCTCCCAACTCCCTCCTTGCTTTGTTTCTTTCCGCTGTA